TGATGTACTTATGTAAGGTATGATTTGTCTGGTTAGCACACAAAGCATTACTTTTCACTGTATCTCAGTACATGTGATAATAATAAATCAAATCAAAACACATTAGGTTTTGCCTCCACCTGTCCAGCTGCCTCCTGAACCCCAACATTACACCTTGGTGCATACCCACCCTAGTTCTCTGCAGTCACCTGTGGAGGCCATAGTGGTGGTCACTGCTAATGCCACCCCTCCAGCAGCCTACCATGCTCTCTGATGCTAGTTTACGTAGCCCGCTAACCTACAGTTTCCTCATCACATCCGTGTCCTCACCTCTACAAGTGCCTTTGCTTTCTCCCTTCAAACTTTGGAAGCCCCCTTCCCATTTGGCAGTGATCCTCCAATTGCCCTTATAGATCTGTCCACCTTGCATCCTCCTCAATGATAAATGCATGAACCTCCAGGATTGCATTCTCCTCAGACTTCTAAATGACTTTGATGATCGGCCCCTTAGCATAACAGACCAGACCTCAACCACTGTGTTTGCAGCTCCCTGACAATGCACAATTCCCCTGACTGCTATTGATGACCCGCCCAGACTGACTGTAGACAGCACAGACTGTAGTCAGACATATCCCCTTTCCATGCCTGGCACTAGTGGATGAACGACCGTATCCAAGATCCTGGACTGTGTGTGCATTTGGCCCATGAGTGATGGTACCAGGACCCTCTGACTGACAGCTGACCCAACTTGACTAGACTGAAGACTAGTCCATACCCACTTTCCAATGTGGCCATTTGGTTGAATATGTGTGCAATGTATTTGCCATACAGGCGGCTGGCATGTACAGTAGGTGCTAACTGACATCTTGGTGCACCATATAGCCAGATATTCCCCATTCCCAAGCCCTGGACAAATGCCTACTGACAAGTATGACAATCAGCCTGTGTGTCTGCACAAAAGAGCACATCAATACAACAGTACTAATAACCTTTAGGTTCTGGCTGAAGTGCCAACATGCTGACAGACATGGCACAGCATGGATAGTGCAAAAGTGACTGAATGCTAAGGAAGCAAGCCAGCAGTCCAATCATTAGCTGGGTGCCTATCCCTGTGCATGCCCTTGCCACAGCCTTTCAATGCTAGTTCCCGGTGCACCTTCAATGCAGCTCTGCGCTTCCTAAGCATACTGCAAGTGAATCAGAGAAGTGCCATGAACGTTCTGAGGGATTGGCAAGTGTCCATGCATGCAGCTGGCGCCCATGGATTGTGCCCTGAAATGTCGTTTGGTACTGAGCAACAAAGTAGGTTTTTGCAGCCAGCAGTGAGCTGAAGTCACCAGGCACCCAATCTAACTTCAATGTCAAGAATTCTTGATGTCTAGTTTCATTGTTGTGTTGGATAAGATAGGAAGCTGAATATTAATGAGGCATTTTACAAATAACAAATTGGCAATTCACAACTCCCTCAAAAGAAAGTCACCTTACTGCCTGCCAAAGGATACAGCAAATTGCTCCCAACATCAAGATAGGTCTCGTCATATTTTGCGTGAGATTCTCCCACAAATGTCCCCATAACCCACATCGTTCAGGCCTCTATTAGCTTCTGCCCAACACATTCATCACTTCTCATATAACTGCATCCATGGACTCAACTAAACAAAGTGAAGATGAATTCTCTAATCTTTATTTCAGATTTGAAATATTAAATAATGCATATTCTCTATTATGATTTCAGGCAACATCTCTGCTGAGCAATGGTTAATTTTTTTGATTATTAGAAACCACCCAAAAATGATTCACTGAGACTGTTTTCACAGTGGAAGGGTTGAAGAGAATTGGTTTGATTTTTCCAAGTGATTCAAACCCTGCCAGAATTATTAGACACAACATGTAGGCGAAACAAATGGGCAGAAACCCATTGACGATAGGGAAAACATTGAAATAATGCCAACAGGGCAATGCATCTTTGGATGGACCAGGGATGGCAGATCAGAGATTGAGTTGCAGCAAAATGTAGAAATTATGTATTAAAAACAATAACCAAGAAAGTCACCTTACTGCCTGCCAAAGGATACAGCAAATTGCTCCCAACATCAAGAAAGGTCTCGTCGTATTTTGCGTGAGATTCTCCCACAAATGTCCCCATAACCCACATCGTTCAGGCCTCTATTAGCTTCTGCCCAACACATTCATCACCTTTCATATAACTGCATCCATGGACTCAACTAAACTATGTTCCCTGAACCCCTCTAACCCACTGGACAGTAAAACTTTTTTTTCACATTTATGTCTGACAATATCTACAACCTGATTCTGTCAGACTCTGACCATCTTCCTCAGTCATTCTGGAAGCTGTTTCACAAAGACTCTTTCATTCATCACCACCACCTCCAGATCCCAAGACAACTTTTCAGTTTACATAACCTACATTTTAATCTGCCAGAAGCTTACGATACAGAAGCTTACATTCCCAGACTTCAGAAGCTCTTTTCAATGCTCTCCAGGGTGCTCCATGAGCCATTTCAGAATATCAAACTCACTATGAACTACACAATGTGAGATCTGACATAATAATAAAATATGTTTAATAGTCAGTTTTAAAGAAGAATAATGAAGTAGATGTAACACAATGAACTTATATTTTGACAACCCCAGTCTGGATTCAGACAAGATTTTTGAGCATCGTAAAAGTTGATCATTCTTCCAATATGGATAAATAGAGCTTTTTTCTAAAGCTGAGGAGAATTATATCAATACTATATAGGAGGATTTTATTTTATGCTTTGATCGGAAGTTCCTCAAGGTGAAATTTAGGACTAGTTGTCTCATATGCAGGTTTTAAAAAAATTAAAAGTCAAACTGGTCACATCAGTCTTTCATTGTCAATGATGCATTTAAAAAAGTAGGGGATTTGGGGCCCTCTTGTGGCATAGTGGTACTGACCCTACACCTCAACCAGGAGATCCAGGTTCAAGACTCACCTGCTCCAGAGGTGTTTCTCTGAACAGGTTGATTACAAAATTTGGTTAAATAAAAAGAAATTTAAAACAATAGAATACTTGGATGTGCTCCCTCCTGGATTCTGTTCATTTCTCTGACATCAATCCAAGATAGGATAAAGATAACATAAAGACACTAGAAAAGATTTATTCTCAACATATGGTGTTTTGTTTCAGACGATGTCAGTCAACTTAAGTGGTGCTTACTCTGGCCATTACATCAACATTAGAATAGTCAGGTCTTTCAACCTGAGCTCTTCTTTCATGCTGTCAAGAACTGTCATGCAATGACTGTGTTGTGGCAGATTTCACTACTGACGAAATATGTGATCTGATATAAGCAACTTGATGGTTTGGCACAATAGTGCAATTAAAGATCCAAAATTTTGGGCGATTCAGTTAAGTTACCTGGCCTTAAGAAGTGTGAATGGAACCAGATCTCAGGTTGTCAAAATAAAAACACGCAATGTCTTATGATTACCATACTACATTAAACTGTTTATAACTGACAATTTAATCAACCTCATTATAGATCTGGAATGCTTCAATAGCCAACAATTAGCTTCAGGCCAGTACAAATGCTCATTAACCTATCATAACCTTGAAAAGACAATTTGTTGATAATTGATTTGGCATTTTTAAAAATAGTACCAATAGGACACAAAACAAAATCAGGGCAGCTACTACTTTTTACATTGTCAGGCAAGGTTTTAAGAGAACTATTACAACATATTTTATTAAAAGCTTCAATGCAGTCAATTTTGTCTTTTGATTTGTGGCTAGTATCAGAACAGTAGGAAATCACAGCCCATTCATTTTCACAGATTAATGTATTTTCCAGCTCACTTAAATGGTTCATTTAATAAAGTTTGGACAGCTCAACGACATGAAGATTCCACTATATCCATTCTGACCACACAATTCACAGTAGGGTAAAAGGCACACTACAACAGTTTCCCTAGGAGAGAAAGCACACAAAAAAAGATTGATGAGGTGTTTGTAAGGCCATAAGAAATAGAAGCAGGAGTAAGCTGTTCAACTCACTGATTCCGCTGTACTATTCAACAGGATCATGGCTGATCTGATTGCAGCTTTCATTCCACTTTCCTACATGTTTCAACACTTGATCAAAATATGTAGACTTGCTGGAAATCAGATCTATATGTGTTCATGCCAGCAAGAGACAGAGGCATACGTATACTTGGATGTGATACTCCCATCATAACAAATTACTCATGCTTACTGCCAAAGCTCATTAATGAGGAGGGTTGCGTTTTGATCAAAGCATCAGAGGTAACACGGGCTCATGAAGTTCCACCCAGCAGGGAGAAAAGGGAGGGAAAGTGCAAAGGTTTTTCTGAAAAGTTCAAAATGCTTTCCATCTTCTTTTCCTCACAGAACCATCACACAATTATCCCATGGCCTCTTACATGGTACTTATGAACAACTGTTTAGATAGTAGTTTAAGATGATTGATTGAACATGTTCTCTTCTCTCTCTATGGAGAAGCAATTATCCTCAGTTCAATTCATTCCCAGCAGAGAAAAGAACCTTACAATACATGGAATCAGATCTTGTGAACTGGAATTTTACTGTGTTCTCTAATTTATGACCAACCTTTGAAAATAGCAGTTACTATACAGCACTGAAATAAACAAACATTTTTTAGAGTAACTGTAAACTTAGGATAGTTTTGTTGTCATAGTGTACAGGTTCACAATATATCTCACACCTTAACAAAATGGAACTCAAACAACAGATGAAAAACAACAGAAATTAGACTGCCTCAACACATCATCATATGCAATGACTGCTAGTCTAGTGGGGTTTGTTAGCACAAAGTTGACTAAATTAATATTCAAGACGCAAAAGTAAACTGCAGTTTTTAGAAATATTAAATTAATAAAGAGAATACTTTAATGCATCGGACACAGTTTTGACAGAGATTTCCAATGATTTTGCTTTTTCTGCTACTACCAAATCTACTGGTAAAGTTGCAAAAAGGATATTCAAGGCACTTACCTTGTATGTTCAAAACCTGTTCAACAATGACATCATTAAGTTCCTTTTTCTGCATCTCTGCACGGATTCGCATGGCTTGATTGGCATATGGCGTCACAACTCCTATGCTATTTTCATCCAGCTTCCCCCAGGCCACTGGCCATCTTTTCTGCAATTCTTCCACTTGCTCAGCTATTTCCAAAACCTGAAACGGATTGCATTTAATTGTAGCATATCCACTATCCCCCCATGATTCCTACCCTCTCAAAACAAACAGATTCGTTTAGAATGCTCCTAAAATTGGTACATCCGGAAGCCAAAGTGATACAATTACTAACTTGCACAAAAAGTGGTATTATTTCAGGCTTCAACCGATTTAAAAGGTCATCGATATTTTAATGATCAATTTAGACAGGTTCCGTGCCTAGGTTGGTCTGTTCTGATAAGTAAACTGCTTAGCATGGTAATTTTGCACTTCAGACCTCACTATACCCACTGCATTACAAACATTTCAAGAAAATGCACTTTGACTGAAAAAGATAAAATCACTGTGGCAGTTGCATATTGTCACATTTATTAACAAAGTAGATGGTCATTAAGTGTCCCTCAGCCCTGAAGCTCAAAATAAAACACAACCGGATATCTTGTGTAGAAGAAATCTACATTTGAAATGCAACATTGTCTTCAATATAGGATCTACTAGCTCCAGTTTTGACACCATGCCTGATAAAAGAAAAATGTCTTTGACCAAATACCAATGCATATGTCCCTTACAATGTTCATTATGGCATTGATTCTTAAGTAAATGAGAAAAATTCAGCCACCTTTACTTAAAACTCAGTCTATTCTGCCAAGAGAAGGGCACTTGAGGCAATATGACAGTGTCCCTGTCTCTGGGCCAGGAAGTCTGGGCTCAAGTTCCACTCGTATCATAACAATTCTGAACACGTTGATATATTTTTTAAAAAGCGATAAATTAAGGGACTCTTGTAGCACTGTGGTTGTACCCCTACTTCTGAGTCAGAAGGCCTGGATTCAAGTCCCACTTGCTCACATCTGAATAAGTTGAATAAAAATATCTATCTTGCCAATGAATAACTAACTAATTAATATCAATGAAGGCATTACTTCACAACTGGTTACTCTACAAGGTTGAGCAGTTATGTCTCTAAAAATATACTTTCAAAGAATCACCACTCTTTCAAATGGAACTGTTGCCTGCTATTCTGTGTAAATAACATGCAATGTGCTGCAAAAAGTAATTAACATCTGCTCTCAGGCAAACCCATTTATTGACCACTTTTCCTATAAGGTTGTTTCTGTCCATTTCCTTATTTCCAATTATTTCTGCTTACCCCTGTCTTAGAATGGTTGATATGCTTGCCCTCAAAACAGTTGCTGCACTCCACAAAGTAAATCAGTGTTCAACTACCTCAAGATCTTTTGCTAACATGATAAAGTTCCAAATAAATACAAGTATTTACTTTCCTACACTTTCACCTGTTTTCTGTATATATATATATATATATATATATATGCCATTTCAATACTTTCTCTCCCACCTGTACAGTTCTTAAAATCTCACCATTTGTCTTTGGATTTATGTCTGATTTTAGTCACTCTGTGGGACTGTCTCTTGCCCTTATTGGCAGTTTTTCTTCATCTCCCAAATTCAACTTCTTACATTAGCTCTCCTCTCTCAAAGCCTTATTTCAATTCTCAAAACTTATCTTAATCCATCGCCGTTATAGACTAGCCCTTCATGTTTCAAATTTGATTGCATCCACTCATTGAGGTTCTATCCCCCATGTGTATACTGTCTCACATGCTAACCCATGAAGACTCTATCAGATTTTTTTTACAGTTTTGTTAGATTAATTGCTGGTACTGGATTAAGTGTCTCCAAGTATAATGTTAGGATGACAATTGTTCAGAATTCAATACAAATTTATCAAATTTATAAAAGGTACCAAGCCAGAAGGGGCAGTCAGATCACGGAAGTAAGCTCAGAAATTACAAAATGAGTTGAATGAAATACTTTATGTGGGCAGAGCAACGATGAGTGAAATTTAATACAGATAAATAAATGGCCCTATAAGTAGAATTGAGCAGATGGTCCATGAATAACGTTGAAATAGTGAAGGATGGGAGTGAAAGAGATTCAAATCTAAGACCCGGATTTTAGCAGAATCATGGAAGCTCTATAACTTATTCAAAATTCCATTAGGATCCTGAATCCAGAAATCCTGCTTCCATTTCAGTATGGGTGGCAAGAAGAGACACATGAAATAATTTTCAGAGCGGGAGCCTTAGCAGGGCCATTTGAATTCAAACAGACCCCATTTTCAATGGAGGATTGGCCTTAATTCGCAGCATGGGACTTACGATGCTTTAAAAAAAAGACATAAATTTTCATAAAAGTCTCTTGAAAGTTCATGCCCTCAGGTTAGTAAAATCATCTTGACTTTTTTTGATGGTGGAGGGAAGAAGGGATAAAACAGCCTCCCTGTTTCTCTAAGTTGGAAAATAAAATTCAGTGCCTGTAGTTTCAATAGACAACTCTACGTACTATCATTCTGTATTATTATGCTTAACCAATTCTACAGCCTGTCATTGTCATTGTGGGGCACTGGAAGTTCACAGTTTCAATGACAGCTCCAACAGAACTCTCTGACTTTGACATGGGACTGTGACAAATGTTTGGTTTTAAGAAAGGGATTAAAGACTTCAGGGGATTTAAGATTATTGTCCTACCTTCAGGCAGCAGTGAGAACTGGACTTCCAAGAGACATCTTTAGCTGGGAACAGATAAAAGAGAGAGCAAAGCTCAGAGCCCTCACCTTCTGAGAGCAGAGACAACTAGACCTACAGCAGACAACACAGTGTGGAGCTGGAGGAACACAGCAGGCCAGGCAGCATCAGAGGAACAGGAACGTTGACGTTTCAGGTCAGGACCCTTCTTCAGAAATAGGGAGGGAGAAGGGAGCTAGGAAATAAATAGAGAGAGGAAGAGTGGAGCTAAGTAAGGTAGATGGGATGGTGATAGGTGAGTGCAGGTAGGGAGTGGTGGGGATTGGTCAGTGGGATGGGTGGAGCGGATAGGTGGGAGAGAAGATAGACAGGTTGTGTCAGGTCAAGGAGGCAGGTGAGAGGGAGGCTTGGACTTGGGATGAGGCCGGGGGTGGGGAGATTTTAAAACTGGTGAATTCTATGTTTAGGCCATCGGGCTGTAGCTCCCATGGTGGAATATGAGGTGTTGCTCCTCCAGTTTGCAGGTGGTGTCATTGTGACACTGGAGGAGGCTCAGGATGGACATGTCACCCAGGGAGTGGGAGGGGGAGTTAAAATGGTTGGTGACTGGAAGGTGTTGTCATTTGTCGCATACAGAGTGTAGATGCTCTACAAAGCTGTCTCTGAGTCTATGCTTGGTCTCACTGATGTAGAGAAGGCCACATCGGGAGCAACGAATACAGTAGACCAAGTTGATGGATGTGCAGGTGAACCCCTGTCTGATATGGAAGGTTGGTTTTGTGCCTTGAATGGAGGTGAGGGGGGAGGTGTAGGGGCATTGTGTAGCACTTCCTGCGGTTTCAGGGAAGGGTGCCAGGGGTGGTGGGCTTAGTGGGGATTGTGGAGCGGACAAGGAAGTCGCAGAGAGCGCGGTCCCTATGAAAGGCAGATAGGGGTGGGAAGGGAAATATCTCTTTGGTTCTGGGGTCACATTGTAGATGGCGGAAGTGGCGGAGAATGATATGTTGGATGCGGAGGTTGGTGGGGTGGTATGTGAGGACAAGGGGGATCCTGTCTTTATTTTTGTTGGGGGGAGGGCATGTGAAGGCAGAAGTGCGGGAAATGCAAGAATAAGGTTGAGGGCTTTTCGATCACTGGAGAGGGAAAGTTACGGTCCTTAAAATAGGAGAACGTTTGGGATGTGCGGGATCCCACTCTCTCTCTGCGACATCCTTGTCCGCTCTACACTCCCCAAGAACCCCACCACCCCCAGCACCTTTCCCTACAGCCGCAGGAAGTGCTACACAATGCCCCTACACCTCCCCCCTCACCATTCAAGGCACAAAACAAACCTTCCATATCAGACAGGTGCTCACCTGCACATCCATCAACTTGGTCTACTGTATCCGCTGCTCCCGATGTGGTCTCTTCTACATCAGTGAGACCAAGCGTAGACTTGGAGACCATTTTGTAGTGCATCTGCACTCTGTACGCAACAAATGACAACACCTTCCAGTCACCAACCATTTTAACTCCCACTCCCACTCCCTGGGTGACATGTTCATCCTGTGCCTCCTCCAGTGTTACAATGACACCACGTGCAACCTGGAGGAGCGACACCTCATATTCCGCATTGGAAACCTACAGCCCGATGGCCTAAACATGGAATTCACCAGTTTTAGAATCTTCCCACCCCCGGCCTTATCCCATGTCCAAGCCTCCCTCTCATCCCTGCCTCCTTGACCTGACACAACCTGTCCATCTACTCTCCTGCCTATCCTCCCTATCCATCACACTGACCAATCCCATCACTCCCTACCTGCACTCACCTATCACTATCCCACCTACCTTCCCTAGCCCCACCCTTCCTCTCTCTATTTATTTTGGAGCTCCCTTCCCCCTTCCCATTTCTGAAGAAGGGTCCTGACCTGAAATGTCAACTTTCCTGCTCCTTTGATACTGCCTGAACTCCGTATTCCTCCAGCTCCACACTGTGTTGTTTTTGACTCCAGCATCTGCAGTTCTTGCTATCCCTGAGTAGACCTAGAGGAGACACCTCGACACCTGGAGCTGTCTGAGTTTGAAGAAAAATAGAAGTAACATCACAGGAAAACTGTAAGTTTATTGATTGGGGAGAAAGTACTGTTTGGGGATGTCTTCATAAAACTGAAAATTAGAAGAATGTATTTTTTGTTTAGGGGCACATAGTCAGACTATCCCAGAGTAAAACAAAACATAGTGTATGTGAGGAATTTGACTTAAACAGAAAATTCAGTACATGGGGGTAAAGAGTTGCTTTCAGAAAGGTTTACTGCAAAAATGTTAAGCTTGCTGAGCGCAGAGTTCAGTGTAGCTGGAAGGCAGGTGGTGTAAGGACTGTGTCACAAAGCAAAGAAATTTTGAAAAATATAAACTTTTAAAACAACATAACATTAAGTTTACAGTAAATAGTACAAAAGTAAGATTAAGGTATGG